ATTTATGGCGTTCGGGAATTTGCATTGTGACATTTACATTATTATTCAGGGCGTTATTATACGCGGAGAATTGCGCGAGCCCGATCGATATTCGCGTTCACTTAAAAACGAATCCAGAGCAACGAAGTAGCGGTGACAGCCTTTGTGCTCGAAACTTGAAACGCAATGTCAATGTCCTCGTCCGTTAGACGTTTTCGCTGAGGGAAATGTCAGCGAATTGGACGTATACAGTCGGGAGAGTGTGTTGATCGGAAATCGATTCGGAGCGCGTACGCCATAATCTCAGCCTACACAATTCGATATTTACAGTCGGTCATTAATATCGCGCCGAACATGTTCGAGTATGAAGTGCACATTTTAAAGTGTCACAATGTCGAACGTTTCTACGTTCAAACTACCAGATGCCCGATTATACCGCAGGTATTGCGGCACCTCTATTGGGCGAAAATTCTAGAATAGCGTGAACGCTTTTATTTAGACTTTATTTCCAGGCTGCTTTCATGTTATTTATATTTGTGCTTTTATTTAGATTTTCTAGAATAAGAGATCGTGCTTTCATATATATGTATACCTTATCCAATAGCAAGACGACACATTTATAATTAAATAAATTTAATCTCTAGACTCGGTCCATCGATCGTTCGCTTTATCTTCGGATAAAGAAAAAAATTTCGCGTCTTCACGCGAAATAAGATTGAGCCGTTCAAATGTATTTTTTTTTTTGCGCTTCTTTTCATCATGCTTGTATCGTTATCCGCTTGACGAGAAAAAACGATGTCACGCAAATTGTTCTTAGCCTTGGACGCGCATAATAATAAAAGATCGCGTAACGAAGGGCAAAGAGAGCGGAACGAGAAATAGCATCCCGACGGCTTTAGATGGCGAGAATGGACGAAGACGTATCGATTATCCTGCCCGACTTTGCGCAAACGAGACCGCATCGTGGCGCGAAACGTGATCGAAGATAAAACCACGCTTCGGTCCTAGACGGAAAGAGGGAGTTCAAGTCTCTCTCTCTCTCTCGCTCTCTCTTTCTTTACTGTGAAAACTTTTTTCTATCCTTCGAGAATAAAACTTCGGGGACGACTTAATCATCACGATGGGTGGATCGCGAGAACAGATAAAATGCTGTCCACCCTCTGATCGACCGTGAATCTTCCGCGGAAAGGGGATTGGCACGACACGTCGATAGAGGATCAGATTGTCATCTTTCGAAACTTTTATGCGTGTTCGTGATATATTCGAAATTTATCACAATTAAATGATACAATAAATATAAATGATATAATTAAATATAAACAATGATGGTGAACGTGATAACTATTTTTTTTGTGAATCAAGGAGTCGTGGTTACTTTATTCATGAATATTTAAATTTCTTCCAAAATATTTAATTCTCTAATTAATTCTGAATATCAGTCATCTCGATTTATTTCTTAAATCTATAATTTAAATGTTTTAGATTTTAATTGTTAAAAAAAACATTTTACAATTATTTTATATACATATATATATATATATA